CATGGTTGACAAGGAATTTGACAATTTATGTTAATTCAAATTCGAATGGGTGGGAAAGTGTGTGGTGTTTAAAAATTGGCCACTCAACCATCAACACGTGGCACATTGTCAAACTTGATGTCAAAAAAATTGCACTTGTAGCATGATTGATTTCATTAATTAATTAAGTTTGAGGCCTTCTTTGGTTCTCATTTTTTTTCAAAATACATTTTTATCTCTATTCTTTTCAACCACACATTCTTTATTAAAATAATATTACACGTAAATTTAAAATTTTTTCCTTCTTTTCTAACCACACATTCTCTATCAATTTACTATTCCAAAATATATTTTTAAAAGAGAACGGAGCTCAAACACTCCCTAAACTTATTTAGATTCGATCCACACAAACATAATTAATCAAGTTCGGTATAAAACATCGAGATTTCTAGGTCCCCATACAAAAATAAGGGATTATGGCTATGTTTCTGGAACATTTTACTTGATGTTATGTGCTAACAAATATATGGTGAGAGAATAAGATATTAATTTTATGAAACTTAAAAGAGTAATGATATGGTAACATTCAAAATTAAGTAATGTAATTAAGTGTTGGCATAGAATAATACACGGTATCAGTTGTGCTTGTTGATCCAAAAAAAAAAAAAGTATCAATGATGAGACCAACAAATCACAAGGCTTCTTACATCCACGCAAGCTGGATTTCTACATACTTGAACAAACCGTTAGTCACACGTGGCCTCCACTGGAAGGGATGGAGTTAGTCGCGCGCACTCCGAAGGTCAAGTCAGTTGGAGGAATACTTTAAGTATAGGAGAGCTTTTAACGTGAGCCTCCAAAGTAAAACGGGTCGACTTTGGGGGCAAGAATATAGTTTTAAAAGTCTAGACTTGCATTATCTTTGAATGCCACTAAGTGTAAGTTTTTATATTTGAGTTTGGCGAATAAGGGCCGTTAGATAGCAATGCTCGTGGCCACATCCAGATGACTGGCATCTCTTGTCAATGACATCAATCAATCTCAGTCTTAAATGCCACATAGTATGCGGCCGTAGACTTGACCAAGCAAATAGGCGGCGATGGCAGTGACACGTCTTGTCAATCATATACTACAAGATCCGCTTAAGATCTCCTTGCTGCCTCACGACCTTCGAATCGGTCTCCTCGTAGATCAATTGAGTCCACGTGTGGGTCCTAGTTTGCAAGGTCTAACAGTGCTTGATATTGATTTATGTGGACAGTGGAACCATTGATCACGTTGTTCAAAGAAAAAGAATAAATATGCATTTTAATATCATTGAACAATACGATAATAGCTCCATTGTCAAATAAATCGGTACTATTGCGATGTAGCATTACGAGTAATATTATCCAACATTAGCAATATTTAATATCAATCTATGTGGTACTACATGATAAATCAAATTTAATCGCCCAGACTAAAGTCAATTCTGATGTCAAAAACCAAAAAGACTGAAGTTAAACGTCACTAAGGGCTCTATTTGATAAGACTTTTGTAAAGTCAAAACTGTTTTTGAGATTAAGAAGACGCTATTGATCGTGCTTGGATAAACTTCTAAAATTGT